AGACAGATGTCATATATATGGATACTTCTATGGCCTTGTCGGCCTGTGTTTTGAGTGTACAAATGATCATGTCGGCCTTATAGGCTCGTATGTCACATGTATAAGTTTGTATATCATATTGGGTCATTCTATATCGATTATTCCCTTATGTTTCATTCTGATTATCTTATGACGGCCTTTCCGGCTCATATACCCATGATAGTACGATAAGAAAGATAAGTTACGTTGGTACTCGGTTGAGTAAGGCATCGGGTTCCCATCGCTGCCCTTCGGTTTGGGTTGTGACAGGGAACTTAGGCGAATGCTGCACAACGATACGCACAGGCAATAAGAAAAATAACAAAGAAAGTACCAAGTACTCAGGAAGGAAAGAAAACTTATGGGCTGAGTTCCACTTTTCAGGGAACGGTAAATATTTGGGGGAAATGAGGTCTTTGATTTTCCCCCGAACGAACATCCCTTCCAACCTCGATCTCGGTCTTCATCGATGCTCGAGAATAGAGCTTTGCTTTCTCAACGGACGAGCTTAATCAACCCCCCTCAGAAAACTCGGGGATTGTAGGGACGAAGTAGGTGGTCGTGGGTGAATAAAGGTGCTTCGGTGTTGTTGACGAAGTGACAGAGGAGGATTACGATCCTCCAAAAGGATGGATGAATCTGCGCAAGGCAGACCTCATACCTTTTGCAGAAGCTGAGGATTATGGGGTCCATCGGGGCAAGCGTGAAGGGGTAAGTGTAAATATTTAGATACCCCTCCACGTGAGTGGTAATATCCTTATTGGGCCCGGGGGACGACCACTTCCTTGCCCTCCCAGTGATAGTCCTCCCGAACGGTAGGAAGTGTGTCCTCTAGATGGAGCATATGTACCTCCATACCTCCTCGCCTCGGTCCTGCTGACTGGAGGCTTTCTCGACTTTGAAGTCATTTTCAATGGAGCAGCCCCCGGGAATGAAGCTCTTCAAGGGAGGTTTCAGGACCACCTCAGGAACGGCCACCTCGGCATACTTAGCCGGGTTGGAAGTTGAAGGGACGGTCTATTGAGGCACTGACTTGGAAGTTTTCGCCATCGGATTCTGAAAAATATGAAAATTTAAAGGTAGGGATAAATGTTTGAAGATAAGTATGAAGATTTGGAAAGTAAGGATGAAGGTATGGAGGCCAGACTTGAAGATAAAAATATAAAGATCTGGAAAACAATGGATAAAGGTTTGGAGGGGTAAGAAATAAGTGAAGAATTCGAGGGTAAGTCAAGGAGCTCTGGAATCGAAAAGCAAAAAAGTGAAAAAGGGGTCAAAGCTTTTATAGAGAAAGGGTAATCAATGCGTGATGTTTCGCATTCGAGGACGGTCAACCGATGACTGACACATGTCCGAAGTCAGAACGACGCGACTGATGGGACGTTTCGATGTCCCGTCAACTAGGTTGTAGCATACGGAAGAAGGAATCGGGGTTAATTTATCGCTTCCCGTCACTTTGATAAATCTGCTCTCCGAAAAATGAGGGGACTATCTATGTATGGATAAGATCGGGCGCACAGTTTTCTCCGATTCCCTGACGAGGAAACAAAGGGGAAGTACGGCTCGACGTAATTATAATCGAGGCCCATGAGTCCCTCGTATCGAAACCCGAGAGAAATGAACGATGTATCTAAGATTAGACATGGTGGAATAACGGACCCAGACCAAGCATAACTTCTGGACCTCAGGAAACGCATAGATCGGTTACGCATGACGAGTAGGGCACCGTAATGTTCAGCCTTAACCGAGTATTACGGCAGGAATCCCATCCCATATCAACTGCGGATCGACATTTAATGAGAAAAGAAGATGTTTACCTTATTTAGACCTGTACTAGGACTGAAATTCCCTTACTATATAAAGTGAAAAGTTTGCTTTATTATATCACATTGTGACATGTAAATCAAAGCAATAAAAGTTTACTTTTATCTTCTAGCTATTGTTCAAAGCATTATTTATTTGTTCTTTTCTTCACTCGCGACCGAGCTTGTACCGAAGGTCCAATCGAGGACGAATTCCACTGTTCAATCTAAGATCAAGCTTGGTCACTACATTGCAATTAGTTTGATCATTTATTTTATCTTTAACTCATTTACATGTTGTTCTTAATCATTCGTATTGAATTAAATCATATATCCCTTAAACCGCGCACAAATTTAATTGTTACTCATTTTTGAGGTAAACGGTGCTTAGTATTTTTTTCCTTTTCTTCTTAGTTGCTAAATGGGTTTGTTAGATTTATTGTTGTTTTGATAATTTAATGATTGAGTTTTATTCTTTATGATATTTGAAAGTAATATTTCAAATTTGAGCTCATTTGGAGTTGATTTTGGTGTTGAATCGTATGTTGGATTGTTGAATTCGACGAATAAGTTTATGTTTCATAACTTAAGATTCGATTTCTAAAGTTATATTGATGTGATAGAACTGTTTAACATCCGAATTTTCTGAAATTGCATTGGAAAGATATAAGAATTTAAGATCTGATAGCTGAAGTTACATTGAAGAGATATAACTACTTAAGATTCAATTTTTCTGAAGTTGCATTGGAAAAAAAAGAACTTCAGATCCGATTCTGAAGTTGTATTGAATAGATAGAACTATTTAAGATTCGATTTTCTGAAGTGATATTGGAAAGATAAAAGAATTACAGATCCGATTCTAAAGTTGCATTGAAGAAATAGAAGAAATTCAGATGCTGACGCATAAATTTTGTAATTTTTTGTGTAATTCAGGTGTAACTTCAATAACGGTCCAAAAGTGAATATATGTGAAAATGCCGGGGGATTTGCATCTATACCCAGTTTTTGGGTCCCATTTTAACCTGTACCCGTTTTGCAAAAGAAATTGCAAGCGTACCCACTTTTCGGGTAACTTCAGGCCTTGAAGTAGCAAAAATTTATGTCTGAAGTTTAAACTTCAGAATGTTTTGCCTGAAGTGTAGCCTTATCAAAGCAAAACTTCAGATATTTTTGCCTGAAGTTTGGACTGACTTGCAAAGGCAATCGCGTAAATTTCAGTTCATAGTACAATGGAAAACTTCAGTTCAATAATTGCTGAACTTCAGCAATTTTGGCTGAAGTTTTTGTTTTGTAATTGCTGAACTTCAGCATTCTAGGAGCTGAAGTTTGTTTAGTATATGCTGAACATCAACATTTTAGGAGCTGAAGTTTGTTTAGTATTTGCTGAACTTCAGCTCCTAGAGGATGCACTTCAGTTCAATAATTGCTGAACTTCAGCAATTTTGGCTGAAGTTTTTATTTTGTAATTGCTGAACTTCAGCATTCTACAAGCTAAAGTTTGTTTAGTATCTGCTGAACTTCAGCATTTTAGGAGCTGAAGTTTGTTTAGTATTTGCTGAACTTCAGCTCCTAGAGGATGCACTTCAGTTTAATAATTGCTGAACTTCAGCAATTTTGGCTGAAGTTTTTGTTTTGTAATTGCTGAACTTCAGCATTCTAGTAGCTGAAGTTTGTTTAGTATCTGCTGAACTTCAGCTCCTAGAGGATGCACTTCAGTGCTTAGGTCCTTTTGGGTAATATTCCAAGCAGTCAACTTGAACTTCCCGTCGTCCATCCTCATACCAGGAAGGAAGGTATCAGTGGGTTCATTAAAACTTTGCCATAGTGGCTTCCCTGACAAATCATCAATTAAACCAAATTTTCTGAATCCAAGAGCTTCGCTTTATGTGAAGAAGATGCACTTGTGCCTACTTGTGTTCAGAAATATGACTTCCTTGATCGGTCCAACACTTTGAAATTTACGTTCATCAATAGCGATAACGAAAAGTTCAGTTGATAAAAATAAAATTGGGTAGTCCCTGTTGGCAACCCACACAATCGTTTCGGGACTCACCTTGTACCATATGAATAATAATATCATCTAGAGGAAAGAATAATATCACCCGAAGAAGGAGGAGGAGGACAAAGAGGCCTGAAATTATTTAAAAAGTGGGTATAAGTTAAAACTTTTTTAAAAAGTGGGTATAAGTTAAATGGGGGCGGCCAAATAGGCCGCCTGTGCAATTTTTACGAAAATGCCCTTATTGAATAGAACCGAGGCCATTGAACTGTACAATAATTCTAACTGAGACCGAGTCAGCTCTTCTATATTTGTTATACAAAAGTGCATAAAGTATAATTTTATAGTTTAAGCATCTAATTAGAATCACGTCATCATCACTAAAACAAAATCTATATATGTTGAATTTTAATTATCGATCTATCATTTTAGCATATCCAATCTTTCAAAACCAACACTTTTAAATATAATGAACAATACTGTAATAGAGAATTGAGTAAAATGTGATTGAATTACGTGAATAATTACTTTAAATTATAAATTAAATTCGAATTCACTTAAATTAAGTGTAGAGCACAAAATAGAACTTTTGAGCAAATAAATAAATAAATAATATAATAAAAAATATTATATTGAATTGAACATCAATAATAATTTGAAATTCTTAAATAAACTTTAGCTGCAATTTAGTTCATCCATTAAGTAGGCTTAAGTTATGCAACGATTAAAATTTACTTACATCAAATCAAGAAGTACGAAATAATAAAGTTTATAGTAATTATTAAATAAATATATTAACAATAAGAAATGAACTTAATTTTAAAACAAAAATTACATGATTAATAGAGTCAATTGAGCCGAGCCATTTCGAGCAACCTGATCTTAATCGAGCTTTGAACGAAGCAAAGTCAAGCCGAGATGAGAGGTCATTGTAATACTTAAGGAAAGGTCATCAAAGTAATGCTTACTAGTTTATAGGCCAATTTGCAGAGTTCCATACGCATAAATTGGAGCTGTTAATATGCCAAGGACTCGGGATTTCTGAAACAGCCAAAAGGGTCCTCTAGACGAATAAACACAGTTTATTGTACCAAGTCTAGTCTCCTCCTCTTCGGACGTTACGAGGTGTTACACCTAAGTAACTGTCTCTTTCCTTTTATATAGTGCTTTTTAAAAGGCAACCTTAAAATTGCTTTCATACCGAAGTTTATGTTAGGGGCAAGAAAAAGCCATAAAAACTAGAGATACATTGTAAACAGATTCCAGTAATCATCATTATGATGAAACAGAACAGCATACATCTGTCTGATTCTTCTTGATAACCAACCAAAAGTTGTGCTTTTACTATTTAGCTTTGATAAATAATCTCGCCATACGAAAAAGGACAAAATCTTTAAACTAACTACTACAATACAAAAGTTCCCTTAGCTACTGAAAAAAGGGGATTTTTACTAGTAGTTTCAAGGCAATTCTGGCATAGTGTTTGGCATGTGAGTTTTCTGATTGTGAATCTTGGAAGAAGAAGATGATGATGAACAGCAGGGATGAATCTGATAATGCAAGCACAGCAACATCATCGTCTCTTACATCCCCAAAACTGCCAGTTTACTATGTACAGAGCCCATCACGTGATTCCCACGATGATGCTGATAAGTCATCATCCTCCATGCAAAATACTCCTGCTTATCACAGCCCCATTGATTCCCCTTCTCATTCATCTAGGGACTCTTCCTCTAGCCGCCTTTCGGGGAATTGGCGATGGGCGAGGGGTTACAATCGGAGGAGAAGTGGGAAAGGGTGGCAAGAATGTGCTGTGATTGAAGAGGATCTTGATTATGATCATATGAATCAAGCCTATTCAAGACGCTGCCTATTTTTTATTGCTCTCATGGGTTTTGGAGCTTTTTTTGCTTTCTTTTGCTTGATTTTGTGGGGAGCTAGTAGACCTTACCAACCTCACATCAGTATGAAGGTATTCTTCTAAAAAATCATGCTACTTGTTTCATTAATTGAATTACGAGTCTGTTTATTGTCTAGAACTTGTTCTTATCACTATTATTAATATTGGGGAAACTAAATTATACCAACAAAAAAAAAAAAAGGGTAAGACGAAGGAGATTATAACCATCATATAAGGCCAGGGAATATGCATAGTAGTACTGATGCTTTTGAAATAGATTATACAGATTTGTGACTTGTGAATTATAAGTTGCTCCTGCACAATCCTATTAGTTCTCAATATTCCCTTTGATGGTCACAAAAGCTGTGGAACTTGATTTTTAAGAACCTTGTGCACGATATAAGCTGATTTCCTCAAACTGGCAGCATAATGTCCTAGTTAACATGTTTAATCCTTCAAGGACCAAAGTCATGCTTAGATTTTTCCTTGATATTTTAAGGACTGAGTTTCTCTCAGAAAGAAATTCTTGATCATTTCATTTCGAGGTTGCATTATGTTGATACTACATGGGTGAAAATCTGGTGATTGCTCTAAAAACTTACAATCCGCTGCATTTTAGTATAATCTTTGATTAACTTTTATTCATATAAAGTGGATTTTCTGCTAGGCCTGCAGGGTACATAACTTCTATTTTGGGCAAGGGTCAGACCGCACAGGTGTTCCGACCAAGTTGCTTACAGTTAACTGTTCTGTGACCATGGTCATATATAACCCTGCTACATTTTTTGGAGTTCATGTCAGCTCCAACCCTGTCAATCTTTTCTTTTCAGAAATCACAGTTGCAACTGGCCAGGTGAGTTTACCAGAGTGATATCTTTGATGAAGTCAATTATAATCTCAAGAATTTTAATACTGACAGATAAACCTGCATTATCCATGAAGAAGAGCAGCCCGGTGCACTAAGCTCCCGCTATGCATAGGGTCCGGGAGAGGGCCGGACCACAATGGTTTATTGTACGCAGTCTTTCCCTGTATTTCTGCAAGAGGCCGTTTCCACGGCTCGAACCTCTGACCTCCTGGTTACATGGCAGCAACTTTACCACAAGGCTCCCCTTCTCATTATCCATGAAGAAATATTATATTATTTAGAGGATCAAACCTCGACATAATGGATGACAGGGAAAAAAATATCAATCACATGTTACCCGATTTTTGGTTTTGTATAGTGCCAGTGTCATGTTCTTTAAGCAACATGTTGTCAGCATTTTTTTTTACCTGATGATTTACAACTTATGGATGCAGTTGGACGAATATTATCAACCAAAAAAGAGCCAGCGCTGTATGTCTGTGAACCTGGATGGGTGTAGAGTCCCCCTATATGGAGCTGGGATAGCCTTAGTAAAATCAGATGGCAGTGACGGGGTTCCATTGAAATTAGACTTTGAAATCCTGTCACAAGGATATTTAGTTGGCAAGCTGGTGAAGACAAAGCATCGGAAACACATCTCTTGTTCCTTGCTCATCAGCTCAAGAAGCACAAAAGAAATAAAATTCAAGCAGGGTTCCTGTGCATTTGATTGAGGTTGCAACATCCACTCCATTCTCCAACATATACTACTAACAGCGATTCTAATGATTTCATATGCCTGTTTGGTCACTCAGAAGATTAAGTTTGTTCTATCTTATGGCTCACCTGCCAGAACAAATTACAACTTTGAATCAATTCATTAGGGTGTGCTTTAGCATGACCAACATCCTGGTTGTTTCAACAAAACTGCCTTTGATCACTTACTTTTGCTATGTGTTTTCTATGACAAAGTTTGACTATTGTTTATGGCCAATAAAGCAACATGAATCTTGGATCAGAGGGAGGTTCCGGGTGCCACACATCTTTGAACAAGGGCAGGGCGTATGTAGGATTTTGCGTGAGTGTTGTTAATATCACATAAGAGAATCAATAAATGATATTTATCATCAATTATTTAGACAAGGAGAGCCATTGTTTGATGGTTTAGTTGAGTGTTAAGATAGAATAGGTCTAGAGTTCAATTCTACTTAACCACAAATCTATAACAACAGAGGCTCCCTTAATAAATATTTGCCAACAAGAATGTCCAAGATGTGGTTCGAACCTCAAACCACCTCAAGCAAGATTAAGCTTCTAACCAGCACGTCAAGTTATACTATTTATCAAATTCATCGGTGGTTTGTATACCAAAGGCAGCATGCTGAAAAAAAAAAGTGTACCAGTTAGGCTTCAAATTGGCGTCGCTAAACTCACAACCACTGGCACTTTTCACTCTTTTGATACTCCAGGCGGCACGACTTGTATTTAGTCTATTTCTTATACATATATACAAATTTTCAACTGAGGCATCGGCCTATCTACATAGATCTGCCCCTGATAATGGGGTTTTCAGGACCAACTAGTACACACCTTGACTATTCCACTGGATTCTAGCTACCTTCCACCAACACAGGTACCAAGTACCTCTGTCAAGGCTTAGGCATGAGAAGAAATTACTTAGTATTTTTTGGCAAAAATGTAAGGCTACATGTGTACACTTTAGCATAAGACTAGCAGTCGTCGACTAGTTTTAGTAGAACCGTCGGGTTGCTTGTTGCATACTGCTAGTGGTGGGCAGCATTTGGAGTAACGCATCAGACTCTTAGGGACTTTCAACCTTAATTATATTTTCTTAGACTATATGTCCTTAATATCTGAAACTCAAGTTGTATAGCATTAAAATGCACGCAGTAGCAGAATCCCCTCTCGTAACCATATGAAGTAAACAAGCTTATCTAAATAATTTTGCATCACAAAACTAATAAGACATGCAATCATCCCCTGCCCTTTCCTAACTCCCAATTCATACTTACCTCATTCCCACTAGGATTGTATAGCGCTATGAATATGATCTACTGAGCATTCAGAATTTGTCAGTTCACAGAGAACTATATGTACAAAGATTTATGCTGTTCTTGATTCTTGAGACATATTCGTGTTGAATGCACTTTGAATATGTCAAATACATCAAAGGCACGAAAAACAATACTGACAAAAAAGCAAAATCTGAAATTTTAATTTCGCATCATATAACTTAGTATTATATGTGGTTCTATAAGTTGAAGTGGAACAGAGGACCATGACAATCGGGTTTATTTGAAATAAAAGAGAGAAAGTATACAGTGAGAGCATTGAGCTAAAGGCTGCTAATGTTAATACAGTAAGACCTCGGACTGTGCCAATTATGCTATCCACAAAAATTGCCTTACAAATGATTAATTTTATAATTAAACATATGGTTGACTCCAAATTATAGAGTGAGTTTAAGCAAAGGCAAGGGGAAAAAAGAAGAAACTATGGCTTCAGTTGTAAAGCTAAATTAGTCACTGAGGTGCTAAACTAGTTCCCTGCTCGTCGATAGCACAACCTTCTCGGGAAACTGTTCCACCCACTCTCGTTGGAGGCCAATATCGGAATATGGATCTGCCAATTATGTTCTTTGCCGGGAGGGGACCCCTAATTAAACAATATCATACTTTTGATATAAGCATAGTTATGGATGTGGCAATTCACAAGATACCTTCAGTTTCAAGAGCGAGTAAACTTACCACACATGTGAATCATAGCTGTTATTCCTATTATCACCCATCACAAATACTGAATTCTCAGGTACCCTCTGCAGAACACAATAGAAACAGTAAGAAGAGGAGATATTTTCTGACACACTATGTGGAGATAAAGTACAGTTTGATCGCAACCATGACTGCTGACTTGCTTAAAGAGTCATAGCTCTGGACGAGCCAATACTTACGATTATTCAACACTTGCTTAAGTTTCCATTGTTAAGAAAGAATACAGGGAAGCTGACTGCCGAATTAGCCGAGTTAAATAAAAACAATGTAAAATACCACTGGGGTCATTTCATATTTTGGCGCCTCAAGAACAAAATCTTCATTCCTCACAACACCATTTACAATTAGCTTTCCATTATGAACCTGCACTAGAAAGAATAATCCAAAATACTTCATTTATGTTGCCAGGAATTGGTCCATATAAATGCAAAGGTGAACCAAACAGGAACATGCGTTTTGCAAATGACCTCAGTTGCACTATTGGAGATCATATTGGTAATTACTGCAGTATATGAAAATATAATACGAATTAATCTAGCGTTGGGGAAAGAAGAGATAATGTAGTATAAAGAAATGCTAATAAGAGTGGACCTAACATTGAAAAACAATAGAACCATAATTACTAGTTGTTGTTCTGGTAAATAGAATATGTAATAATTGTCATGTGCATGAAGAGAAACAGCTAAGCAAGTTTGAATCAATACCATTAGTCCTCTCCATTTTTTCCTCTCTGAGAATTCAAATAATGCAAATCTACGAATTTGATGTGAAAAATCGCAGTCCACTGGCATTCTTTGTTGAATCAAAAAGAGAAAGAAAAACCTTTCCCCCAACCTTCGTAGAGCAAGACTTGGATAATACAAAAGTCTGGTGAGGTTTAAATAGAAAAATCCTTTCTCCGTCGATGTAAAACCGAGTCTCTTATTTTCACTCGGCATAATGATAAAGAGAGGATGAAAATTAATAATCAGATGGTTAAACCTGTAACACTTGAGTTATTTCTTGTTGCTTAAGGAAAGGGTAAAGTTAGTATTGGACAGTTTAAAAGGGGTTCCCTATTACCTTTTTCATACAGGATTAAATGCATGTTTTCTTTTCTGAGAAAGTAGGCACTACTTTGGGGTAGATGAAAAGCAAAGGTGAACATTCAAAAGGTGATGCAGGGAGTAATATAGATGCCAAAAGAGAGCATCACCGAGACCAGCCACTGACTGGATAAACTTTGTTGTCGCTTAAAACCAGTAAACCAACTTTGTTAGACAAATTTGACCATGCATTCTCCTGCAAGAGAGGATACTGGAAAAACATCTCAATGTTACAAAATAAAGTAGCTATCAACAATGTGTTATTGGTTGCAAGTTACCGTGACGGCACAAACTAAACATCAAGATATGCTGGAGGCAATGGCACTTAGGTATTACCATCACAAGAATAGAAACAGAGAAAGACCTGCACTTTCCAAACACAAGATACAGGGGGTTTTGACAAACGATACCAGCCCTAAATTTCATGACTGGTCTGGCTGTTTACGAGGGTAGAATTGGATTTCGAAAGAAAAGAGAAGTGCAAAGATGTCTGGACTATTTAATATTTTACATTCTTGAAGCAGTATAAAATAAGTGAGAAGTTTTCACATTTTCGCACAACACTCAAAATATGAGGTAGATCTGCCCCAGGTTTGCTGTCGACCTTATAATTTGTTCAGTCACTGTCATTAAGGGGAAAAAACTCAGTATAGGACAACTGGCGGAGGTTATGAAATACCATCACTTTATCTTCTAAGCAAGAAGACAAGTTCACCTATGAAGTAGTATAACTGTTTTGTATGTTGTGAGCTCACCTCCACAAGATCACCTTCCTTAGCAATAATCCGCTTAATAAAGACATCTTCATCAGTGTATCCTACTTCCTGAAGCACTGGAGGACTCTTGAAAATAACTATGTCGTTGGGACATGGCTTTCTGAAATAGTAAGAGACCTGTAAATAATAAGATTGCAATAGTTTGTGAAGGAAATGACTTTGAATCTACATGGACTAGTCATATACTAAATGCACAATAAAATAGAGGGCAAGTTTGATGGGAATAAACAGCAACCTTTGTGGAATCTTAAAACACCACTGATACCCTTAGATCAATTGTATTGATACGATTGCATACAAATGGAACTTAAAAAAATATGGTTTAAGAGAAGAAACAAGATAGAATTTGCTCTTAAGATGTAGTGTATACAAACAAGTTTAGCAACACTAACCTAGTCTAAAGTAAGGTGGTGCATGCAGAGGCAGAGCCAGAAATTCAATCTTACGGGTTTTAGATTTTAGAATGACGACTTCAAGTGTTAATTGACTGGGTTCTAAATTTAATATGTGTACATATTTAATGAATTATAAACACCAAATAAACTATTTGAGCAAAAGCTATGAGTTTGCCCAAACTTGTAGCTCGGTTTGTGCCTCCGCCCCTGGGTGCATGTCTATTTAAAACATAGGAAGCTATTTGGTGTTGTGCTCCACGGAACTCATGAAGACAAAAAAAATATCATTATGCTATAACAAAAGAGACAAGCATAAATCAGAATAACATTCCTTAAATCAGCTTTTAGATCCACATCCCTTGATACATTCAATTTCAGATTCAACACTTAGGCTCTTAAATGACAGCAAAAAAACCAGCATAATTCTGCATTCTTTCTCCAATAGCAGATGCACGAATACTTACTTATATAATGCAATTGCTAATATCAAAATATGGATGAAAATCCAGCAAGAGGTTTGAAAACATTACCTTTTCAGCAACAAGTCGATCTCCAACATCGAAAGTGGGATACATAGACAAAGAAGGAATATATCTAGGCTCAGCCACAAAGGACCTAAAGGCAAGCGATATAGCCAATGCTGCAAAAACCGTTTTTGCATCATCTGAACTAAAATCCAGCCATTCTGAGAGAAACCCATTTTGCTTCTCCGCCTTTTCATCATCTCCACCACCACCATCACCATCACCACCTCCGCCGCCAACCTTATTAGTCTCTTCGTTGGAATTTTTAACCCCACTGCATTTAAAGCTCTGAAATTGAGATTTTCGACAGCCTGATTGCTTGAAAGATTGACACTTTGGGGTTTTTAACAAGAATCTGTTGAATTGAAGGGTTTTAGATAAAGGGTTGAAGTTTATAGAGTGGACAGAGTTGAAGCAAGGGTTTTGTGAAGGTAATGGAGGGAGGAGCTTTAGAGTTATCATTGGACGGAGACTCAAATATTTCTGCAATTATACACAGAGTGAGTTCCCCTCCAATATACGTTGAAACTGAATTGGCAGTTAATACCCTGAGGTAATCTTCTCTACATTTTCCCAAAGTCCCTTTTCTTTTCTTTTTAAATTTCTTTTTGGCCTTTTCTCTGTTGAAGGGGTGTGTTATTGCTCTCACTTTTTTGTTTGATCACTTAAAATTTCAGAATTCTTCAGGATAGATCCAACTGTCGTCATAAGAAAAAAGAATTTGAATATTGATTTTTGAAAAATACAAGATATAGACAATAGATGTGGTAATTCATGTTGTTGTAGGATGATACCTTCAGTAAGTATAATGGATATTTTTGTGAAAATATATATGGACAGTTTAGATGAAGAAAAAGTGAGGACAAATGTAATGTACGAAAAGAAAAAGGAAAACTACATTTATAACTGCATTGAAGAATCCAGTACTGCTTACCCGAAAAACGGATAGAGTTGAATTTATACGTAGTTCTAAGGGTATGTGGTATAACTTGACACAAATCATAAAAATAAATAGAAATATCGAATATTGACTGTAAAGAATGAAAAATAAGCCAAGTTGAAAAGAGGATGATTTATGGATTAAGCAAGATTAATCAATCTATGAAGCTAAAAAAGGATAATTCTTTAATAGGGGAGCGTATGATATCTGAGTTATAATGTATGCTAAAAACTTGTCTCCTTTACAGAAATATAGTCATCCTTTTTATAGTGGGGATCCTACTTTAGATATAATTAAAAATACATAGTGGAGAACCCATGATAAATCGGTTTTTCCCTAATTCCCGCCGAGATTCTCTCCCTTAGTGCGGCTGCAACGGCTCTTGTCTATGAGCTCGATCTTGATCGGACTCAACATTGGTCGGTTTCCAGTTTTAGAGCTCGATGCGGGTTTGAGGTCGATGCCGACTCGGGGTCCGGTAATGACTTGGGCTCGGTATTGGTTGGCCTCTGGCCCTTAAGCTCGATTCCATCACATCTTATCATAGTTCGATTCAGACCCGAGCTCGATAATAACTTCGAACACGGTATCTGACCTGTACCTGAAATTTGAAGCTCGTTTGTGCCATTTTCAGATCTCATCTCGATGTTATGAAGACTTTCTTCGGTCCATTATGATCCCATCTCGACCAGTCATACGAAGGCCGAAATTAGTTTCGACCGTATATAGATAGTCCCCTCATTTCTCGGGAAGGATGTGGCGAGAAACGATATGATTTGCCAACGGCTCAATTGGATATGCACTGACGTTTGCATCCAGCCCGACCATGATGTACGTGATAGCTGTCCCGTCGGTTTAGTTTACCAAAGTATTTAACACGTGTCAGACGGTGGTCGGTCACTGCTAATATTGAACCGTCATTGCTCAATCTATAAATAGCCCCTCCTTTTACCATTTATCACTTTTACATCTTCAATCTCCAAATTTTCCAAGTTCTTCTTCTGAGTTCATCCGTAAATCTGTGATTTTTTACTGCAAAATCTTTCTTCAAAAGCATCAAATCTTTGTTACCTCCTTCTATTTTCGATCTTTAAATCCAAAATGGCGAAAACATCAAAAACCATTCCTCAAAAAGAAAAAGCTTCTTCTTCACATTCTGCCGCCGATAAAACACCGGTGGAGCCACGGCCTGAGGAGTACGTTCCTGGGGCGTGTGTTCTTACCTCTGATTTTAAGGTCGACAAAGGCTCGTCGGTTCCCGGCCGATGTGAGCCAGTATCGAGGTATATGTGTTTAATAACCGAGGGGTACCTTGAATAAATAAGAAAAGATTGCAATTGGGAGAACAAAGAAATAGTAATCCCGTCTCCTGAAGAAGATATCACCACTTACGTGAAAGGGGTTTTAAGCGTGTATACTTACCCTTTCACGTTAGGTCCTCTCGGCCCTGTTATTATCGATTTCTGCCGTCAATACCAAATAACCCTAAGCCAGATCCATCCTTCTTCTTGGCGGATCGTTATTTTGATCCGTTTCTTCGTGAATAAAATCGAGGGGATGTCTTTCACCCTTGACCATCTCATTCGATTGTACTGCCCTCGCCTCTTTCGAGGCGGGTTAATAAAGCTTCAGCGCCGGGCTACCAAAGTTCTGTTCTCGAGTATAGACGAGGATAAGGATCGAGGCTGGATGGGCAGGTTCATTCGAGTGAAGACTTCGGACCTGATTCCGTCTGAAAAGATGCCATTTCCCGAGGAGTGGAACATGAAGCGTAAGTGTAATTCTGATGTTATCTTCTACTGTTTTGCCCCTTCATTTCTTCCTCACTGATATCCCCCTTTTGTGATGCAGCGGTTCCTTGGATGCCCGGTGCAGTTCCTGACCTCAAGAACTGGGTACGGGGTCTAGCTTCAACCTCTACATCTGCCGAGTGCTCATGGCGTGATATGTCAAAGGGCCGATGGGAGGCCAAAAATCCTGGTAAGCCTCTTTCTCGTATCTTTGGTAATTCAAATGAGATGCTCTCCATTTACTTAAATCAATTTTCTTGTATGTAGGCCCGTCCGTCGAGGAAGAGGCTTCGGCCTCTGTCCCAAAATCGGTGAAGGATAATAAGCAAAAAAGGGCCTCCGCTTCCGAAGATCCAAAATCGAAGACAAGGATTGCTCATAAACCAAGGAAGAATACCATCCCTTTGACCATAGAATCAGTTCTGCATCTAAGGGATGAAGAAGAAGAAGAAGAAGAAGAAGAAGAAGAAGAAGAAGAAGAAGAAGAAGAAGAAGAAGAAGAAAAAGAAGAAGAAGAAGAAAACGACGGGTCCGTGCTGGTGGCCCGAGTGAAGAAAACCATTGATGCCCCAAAGGCAGCTGAATCGATGGTGATTTATAAAGCTCTACCTCGGACTGAGGAGATATCGGAGGAAGGTTCGGGCAGAGTCCCCGAATCGTTAGAGATCGAGGATGCTTCCCACCGAAGTCAACAAACGGTGGGTATATCAGAAGGGGCCGGTCCTGAAGCTCTCCGAACTGAGGAGAACGCCCCAAGCGAGTCGCTTGGGGCAATAGTAATCGGAGACTCGCCCACTCTCCCTGCCTTTTCTGAAGGGGTGATTCGGGAAGCCCAAGCTTTGGGGGCCCTCGAGATAAACTGGTCTCACGAAGGGGAGGACCCCTTCAGTGATTTGTTTACTTGGGTCGAGGATGTTGCTGGCCCTAGTGATGTGTCAGGCCTTTTCTGTGAAGTGCAGCAAGCTCTGAATCGGGTAAGCTTTAACTCCCTTCGTTGATATTACTTTTATGTTTGCTATTCTTCTCTAACTTTTTTTCTTCTTTCTTATGTAGGCTGCAACGGTTCATCGAGAAGCATGTTCTTGGTCTCGAGCTAAGCTGCATAGGTACGAGGCCGACCTACGATGGGTCACGGAGGAGAGGAACGCCCTTAGACTCCTCTTCGGGCAAAGGGAAGAAGAAATCAAAGACTTCCCGAGCTGAGTTGGCTAAGGCTCATAAAGACCAGACCGACCTGACCGAGCAGGTAATAATAATATTAAAAACCCATGGGCTCGATCCTGGAATGGTGGCTAATATTTCGATCTCACAGCTGCAGCAGAAGCTTGAGGTGATTGGGAAGCTTCGTGAGGAGGTCGATATGATAAGGGCGGAGTCCTTGGGATGGAAAGATGGTATGGACCGTATTGCCGCAGAAAAAGAAACTACTCGAGCCCAATTATCATTGGCCAAAAATCAACTTCAAAGAAGAAGAATAGCTTGGTTCAATCAAGAAAAATAGAGGAGCTCGAGGCTCGGTTGGCCTCCGAACTTGCCGAGGCCCAATCTGACACCGAAAAAGCAAACGCTAATGTGGATGCATTCGTGGCCGTCTATCGGGCCGTTGATGAAGCTCCTCAGGTACAGGAAAGAGAGGCGGCCGAGACCACTAACACTCGAGCACATTGGGTTGCTGAACTTGCTAAATGCCGATCTCAGAGGGAGACCCTCGAGGAGATCCATGCTCGAGGTTTCGATCTCGCTGAAGAAATTAAAAGGGCTAAAGAGCTCGAAGCCAATGCTGAAGCCTTGGCTTTTGATGATGATAATGATGATGGGAGCAAGAGTGGGTCGGAAAGCGGGGAGGAGCCCGATAGAGAAGAGACCGCCCCCGGAGATAGCCAAGAAACTTAGCCCTTAGTTTTCATTTTGGTTTTTCTGTAGGGTCCTGTTCGGGCGTTGTAAACATTCTTATATATATATATATATATATATTTTCTATTCCCGACTTGCCTCTGTTTTATTCTCTGCCTTGTGAAGATTTTGTTTTATTCATGCCTTATGAAGGTTTTCATAAGGCTTTAGGCAATTTGATTGAATTTGGACCTTGTAGCCTCTATAACCGAGTGAGTGCTTGCTCAAACTCAAAATAAGGTAGCCCGTAGGCTTAGTAGTCGAGTGAGTGATTGTTCGAACTTGAAGTGGTATAGCCCGTAGGATAATTAGTCGAGTGAGTGATTCGAACTCGAAGTAATGTAGCCCATAGGCTAATTAGTCGAGTGAGTGATTCGAACTCGAAGTAATGTAGCTCGTAGGCTTAATAGTCGAGTGAGTGCTTCGAACTCGAGGTAATGTAGCTTGTAGGCTTAATAATCGAGTGAGTGCTTCGAACTCGAAGTAATGTAGCCCGTAGGCTTAAAGATCGAGTAAGTGATTTCTCGAACTTGAATAAAAAACAACCCTTAGGCTTAATGGTTGAGTGAGTGATTTCTCGAACTCAAAATAAGAGTAGCTCGTAGGCTTAGTAGTCGAGTGAGTGCTTGCTCGAACTCAAAGTAATATAGCTCGTAGGCTTAATGGTTGAGTGAGTGATTTCTCGAACTCAAAATAAAAGTAGCCCGTAGGCTTAGTAGTTGAGTGAGTGCTTGCTCGAACTCGAAGTAATGTAGCCCATAGGCTTAATGGTTGAGTGAGTGATTTCTCGAACTCAAAATAAGAGTAGCCTGTAGACTTAGTAGTCGAGTGAGTGCTTGCTCGAACTCGAAGTAATGTAGCCCGCATGCTTAATGGTTGAGTGAGTGATTTCTCAAACTCAAAATAAGAGTAGCCCGTAGGCTTAGTAGTCGAGTGAGTGCTTGCTCGAACTCGAAATAATGTAGCCCATAGGCTTTATGGTTGAGTGAGTGATTTCTCGAACTCAAAATAAGAGTAGCCCGTAGGCTTAGTAGTCGAGTGAGTGCTTGCTCGAACTCGAAGTAATGTATCCCGTAGGCTTAATTGTTGAGTAAGTGATTTCTCGAACTTAAAATAAGAGTAGCCTGTAGGCTTAGTAGTCGAATGAGTACTTGCTCGAACTCGAAGTAATGTAGCCCGTAGGCTTAATGGTTAAGTGAGTGATTTCTCAAACTCAAAATAAGAGTAGCCCGTAGGCTTAGTAGTCGAGTGAGTGATTCGAACTCGAAGTAATGTGGTCTGTAGGCTTAATGGTTGAGTGGGAGTCCCCGATTTGTGGGGTAATAGTCGGTCCTTGAGCCTGTTTGCGTAATAGATCATGAAATAGAGGATGGGTTGTGAGATATGAGATATGGGAAAAGAAGTTTCTTTTCATGTCGTTATACATGTGTTTATATTTTGTACCAGGGATCGAGCAATCTACACGAGCATGGTTCGTTTTGACCATTTGGCTCTTACAATTTTTCCTATCAGAACCCTGTTGTTATGAAGTAACTTTCTTGCATTGAACTTGATATATTTGAGGGTAATGCCCCACCAGTATTCGAGGTTGATTGTAAAGAGGCCTCGGATACTGTTTAATTATTTTAAGTTAGCACGATCAATGGTTGCCTCATTAAAAACCTCGCCGAAAAACCCATTTGGGATAAAATCGGTCTAAGGAAAAAAGAGTGCAACGCGTGCTTTCAGACCTAAGGCTTCGTGTTGAATGATTCATCCTTGTTCCTGATTGAACTCCTACAAGGGTTAGTTTCTAAATATAAACGAACATGGGAGGGTCGTACCTTAGAAGTTTTATCGTTTTAGGTGTGACACGTTCCAATTGCTTGCTAGTTGTTTGCCGTTTTATAATACCGAGCTTGTAGGATCCTTTACCGACGTTTTCGAGTACTTGATACGGCCCTTCCCAGTTTGGACCCAGTTTTCCTTCATTTGGGTTTCGGGTGCTGAGGGTGACTTTCCTTAGCACTAAGTCCCCGATTTTAAAATGGCGAAGATTGGTCCTTCGATTATAGTATCTTTCGATCCACTGCTTTTGGGCGGCCAATTGGACGAGAGCAGCTTCTCGTTTTTCATCCAATAATTCGAGGCTAGTATTCATAGCCTCGTGATTTGACTCTTCTGTTGTATATCGAAACCTGGCATTGGGTTCCCCGACTTCGACTGGAATCAAGGCTTTGGAGCCATATACTAAGGAGAACGGGGTTGCCCCCATACTGGATTTTGATGTTGTTCGATATGCCAAAAGAACTTCGGGTAGGATTTCTCTCTATTTTTCCTTAGCGTCGTTCAACCTTTTCTTTAGGATTTGAATGATAGTCTTGTTCGTCGATTCGGCCTGTCTGTTCCCACTAGGGTGATATAGTGTCGATAATATCCTTTTTATTTTGTGGTATTCGAGGAATTTCGTCACTTTGCTGCCGATAAATTGTTTTCCATTGTCACACACTATTTTGGCGGGTATCCCAAATCGACATACGATATGATCCCAGATGAAGTCTATAACCTCTTTCTCTCTTACTTTATCGAACGCCTGTGCTTCAACCCATTTAGAGAAATAGTCAGTCATAAATAAAATGAACTTAGCTTTACCCGGGGCCGATGGCAGAGGGCCGACGATATCCATTCCTCATTTCATGAATGGCCATGGGGATAAGACTGAGTGAAGTTGCTCTCCGGGCTGATGGATCATCGGTGTGAACCTTTGGCATTTGTCACATTTTCGAACAAACTCCTTTACATCTTTGTCCATATCAATCCAATAATATCCTGCTTTGATTATTTTTCGGACTAATGAATCAGCACCAGAATGATTTCCACAAGTACCCTCGTAAATCTCACGTAGGATGTAGTCGGTGTCTCCTGGACCTAAGAATACTGCCAATGGTCCATAGAATGTCCTTCGGTATAATGTTCCATCTGCAGTCAATGTGAATCGAGCAGTTTTGGTTTGTAGGGCCCTCAAATTTTTAGGGTCCGATGGGAGCTTTCCGTTCTCCAAATATTCAATATACTTATTCCTCCAATCCCAGGTTAAGCTTGTAGAATTTATCTTGGTATGACCTTCCTCGATCACGATCTCGAGAGTTGAACGACAGTCCCCGAGCTGATCTCATCTTCCTCGACCGATGATCCCAAATTTGCAAGTGCATCGGCCTCACTGTTTTGTTCTCGAGGTACATGCTGTAAAGTCCATTCTTTGAAACAGTGCAAAGTTACCTGTAGTTTGTCCAAATACCTTTGCATTCTATCCTCTCGAACTTCGAAGGTTTTGTTTACTTGATTTACCACCAGTAAAGAGTCACACTTGGCTTCAATGACTTCTTCTCCCAAGCTTTTAGCTAGCTCAAGACCTGCAATCATGGCCTCATACTCGGCCTTGTTGTTAGTTAACTTAGTAGTTTTGATAGATTGCCTAATAGTGCCACCCGTAGGCAGCTTTAACACGATGCCTAGCCCGGAACCCTTCACGTTCGAAGCCCCGTCTGTGAAAAGGTTCCATACCCCCGATGATGTACCCGATTTCAACAAGAGTTCCTTTTCGACTTCGGGTATGAGGGTTGGCGTGAAAACGACCACAAAGTCTGCTAAAATTTGAGACTTGATGGCCGTCCGGGGTTGATATTCGATATCGTACCCACTGAGTTCGACGGCCCATTTGGCCAATCGGCCTAATAGTTCGGGCTTGTGCAAAATATTATGAAGTGGGTAAGTGGTTAATACACATATGGGGTGACATTGAAAGTATGGTCTTAACTTTCTAGAAGCGCTTATCAGTGCAAGTGCCAATTTCTCTAAGTGTGAATATCTAGTTTCTGCTTCCCCTAAGGTTCGACTTACATAATAAATGGAAACTTACGTACCTTGCTCTTCTCGAACTAGGACACCACTTACCGCAATTTTCTATACTACCAAGTGCAAGCAAAGTTTCTCGTCTGCCTTTGGAGTGTGAAGCAGTGGTGGGCTCGATAGGTATCGCTTCAATTCCTCTAATGCCTGTTGGCATTTCGGGGTCCAGGCAAAATCGTTCTTCTTTTTGAGTAGAGAGAAAAATCTATGACTTCGATCTGACGACCTTGAAATGAATCGGCCTAAGGCAGCAATCCGTCTTGTTAGCCTCTATACAACTTTTAAACTATCCACGATGGCGATGTATTCGATGGCCTTGATTTTATCAGGGTTGATCTCGATCCCCCGATTCGATACCATGAAGCCAAGGAACTTGCCCGAACTGACCCCGAAAGCACATTTCTCGAGGTTGAGCTTCATGTTGTATTTCCTTAAAATCTCGAATGTTTCCTGCAAATGAGCCAAATGGTCCTCTGCGCGCAAGGACTTAACTAGCATGTCATCAATATAAAATTCCATTTAATTTACCTATTTGTTCCTCGAGCATTTTATTTACTAGGAATTGGTAAGTAGCTCCTGCATTTTTTAGCCCGAAGGGCATCACATTATAACAATATGTTCCATACTTGGTGACAAATGAAGTTTTTTCCCGGTCTTCCGGGTTCATTTGGATTTGATTATACCCCGAATAGGCATCGAGAAAAGTAAGGACCTCATGGCCGGCTGTGGCATCGATCATGCAATCGATGTTGGGCAGCGGAAAAGAATCTTTGGGGCACGCCTTGTTTAAATCCTTATATTCTACACACATTCTAGGTTTGTTCCCCTTTTTAGGGACTACAACTACATTGGCTAACCATTAGGGGTATTTTACCTCCCGAATGGACCTTATTTTAAGAAGTTTAGTTACCTCGTCCTTTATGAATGCGTGCTTTACCTCAGACTGGGGTCTTCTCTTTTGCTTCACCGATTTGAACCTAGGGTCCAGGCTTAGCCGATGCATCGTTATATCCGGTGGGATCCCTGTTATATCCAAATAGGACCAAGCAAAACAATCTATGTTATCGATAAGAAATTGAATAAGCCTTTTCCTGAGTTTGGGGGTTAATACCATTCCTAGGTATACCTTTCGTTCGGGAAAATGCTCGATTAGTATGACTTGCTCCAGTTCTTCAATCGTTGATTGGGTAGCGTCGGAATCATCGGGGACCATGAAGGATCGAGGGATCCTTTGATCATCATCTTTGTCAAACTTCTGATTTTCTGGTTAGGTTGAAGCTGACGTCTGTGATTGCTATTTGGCATCTCGTTCCCCTTTTGAGTCCGACCCCTTTGTTGACGAAGGTGAGGATATCGAAATTGCTTCTTCGACGGCAAATATTTCTCTCGCGGCCAGTTGTTCTGCGTACACTATTTTGACTCCCTTCGATGTTGGGAATTTAAGAACCTGGTGGAGGGTCGAAGGTACAACTCTTATATTGTGGATCCATGGCCTTCCAAAAAGGGCGTTGTACCTCATGTCGCCTTCGATTACGTGGAACTTCGTTTCCTGGATGGTCCCGGCCACGTTTATCGGCAAAATTATCTCGCCTTTGGTGGTTTCACATGCCATATTAAATCCGTTTAGAACCAGGGTTGCGGGTATGACCTGGTCCTGTAGACCGAGCTGTTTTACAACCTTTGATCTAATAATGTTGGCCGAGCTACCTGGATCAATTAACACACGCTTAACTTTAGTTTTATTCATAAGTACGGATATTACCAGTGTATCATTGTGAGGTTTCATGACTCCTTCTGCATCTTCATCATTAAAGGATAAGGTTCCTATGGGTGCGTAATCCTGAGTTCGAGGTTGCTTTTCTCTCATAACTGATGTCTTAGTGCGTTTAAGCACCGGACCTTGAGAGGTATCGACGCCACCGATGATCATGTAGATGATGTGCCGTGGTTCTTCCTGTTCGTTGGGTTTACCGAAATCCCTATTTTTGAAATGGTTTTTGGCCCTGTCGCTTAATCATTCTCGAAGGTGCCCTTTATTGAATAACCGGGCTACCTCCTCTCTTAGTTGCCTGCAATCTTCAATTCTGTGGCCATGGGTACCATGATATTCGCATATTTGATTGGGATTCCTCTGGGAAGGATCGGTCTGCATGGGTCGAGGCCATTTAGTGTCTTTGATGCGTCTGATAGCCGACACAATAGCAGATGCATCGATGCTAAACTTATATTTTGATAATCGTGGTGATTCCTTAGGTCCAGTAGGCATGTCGATCCCATTTCTGTTCATCAGCCCATGAGACCCTTGACCTCGATCACTTCTTTTATTGCCTTGTCCGGGGTTACGTCTCGATTCATTGATCCTGTGGTTTCCACTATATGGTTGGTATCGGTCCCTGATCACCTTATTCTCGATTGATGTCCCTTCTAGCAGTGGGTTCAGAACCCTACTGATCATCTTCGACTCTAATTTTTGACTGGTACCGATTATGCACGTCGGCCCAAGTAATAGCTGGGTACTCGATCAGGTTATGCTTCAACCGCCGTGAAGCCGTCGAGCTTCGTTCGTTCAAACCTTGAGTGAAAGCCTGAACTGCCCAATTGTTTGTGACTGGTGGCAGATCCATCCGTTCCATTTGAAAATTAGATACGAACTCCCTTAGCATCTTGTTATCCTTTTGTCTTACTTTGAACAGGTCCGACCTCCTGGTCTCGACCTTTATGGGTCCGGCGTGCGCTTTTACAAAGGAATCTGCAAGCATAGCAAAAGAATCGATAGAATTAGATGATAAATTATGATACCATATCATTGCTCCCTTTGACAGGGTTTCACCGAATTTCTTCAATAATACGGATTTGATTTCATCGCCCTCTAGGTCGTTCCCTTTAATGGCACATGTGTAAGAGGTGACATATTCGTTGGGGTCGGTAGTTCCGTTATATTTAGGAATCTTAGGCATGCGGAATTTCTTTGGGATCGGTTTAGGAGCCGTGCTTGGGGGGAAAGGCTGTTGTATGAATTTTTTGGAATCTAATCCCTTCAATATCGGTGGTGCCCCCGGGATCTGATCAACCCTGGAGTTATACGTTTCCACTTTTTTGTCGTTTTCTTTGATCCTCCTTTCTCCTGATTCTATTCGTTTGGTTAGTTCTTCGAACATCTTAGCAACTCCGGGATTAGTCCCCAACTCTTGCTCATTTAACCTTACTATAGCTGGTTCCGTTCTGTGAGCGATTTCTCGGGGAGGACTGGGCTCCGGCCTGCTCGGTATCTGTATTTGACTCTGCAACTGAGCTATTCCTTCTTGTTGAGCTTGCAACATTTCGAAAATCATACGCAAGCTGACGTTGTTTTCCTCGACATTATGGGTATCTCGAGCTGCAGATCGAGTGCCACCATGAATGCTATTTTCAGGTTCAGAATATATGTTTGCCTCAATGGCCACATGCGAATTAACGTCTAATAGCACTTCGACTCGAGCTCCAACGGCGTCGACAAGCGTCCTTTTGGTTCTGGACGTCAAGTTGTTGTTCTCACCTTGAAGACCAGTTTTGTTGTCGATAGGTAAGGCCATTTAATTGATAGCTCGTCGTTGCTAATCCGAAATCAAAGATACTTCCAAGAACAAGTGTAAAATGGTGTGTTTTGCAAAGATTCGTACCAAATAACCACTGTTATACTTAGCCCCATGCTAGGCGCCAAACTATTTACCCAAAAAACAGATAAAGTTGAATTTGTACGTAGTTCTAAGGGTATGTGGTATAACTTGACACAAATCGTAAGAATAAATAGAAATATCGAATATTGAGCGTAAAGAATGAAAAATAAGCAAAGTTGAAAAGAGGATGATTTATGGATTAAGCAAGATTAATCAATCTATGAAGCTAAAAAAGGATAATTCTTCAATAGGGAGTGTATGGTATCTGAGTTACAACGTATGCCAAAAACTTATCCCCTTTACAGAAATATAGTCATCCCTTTTATAGTGGGGGATCCTACTTTAGATATAATTAAAAATACATAGTGGAAAACCCATGATTAATCAGCTTTTTCCTAATTCTCACCGAGATTCTCTCCCTTAGTGCGGCTGCAACGACTCTTGTCTATGAGCTCGATCTTGATCAGACTCAGCATTGGTCGGTATTGGTCGGTTTCCAGTTTTAGAGCTCGATGCGGGTTTGAGGTCGATGTTGATTCGGGGTCCGGTAATGACTTGGGCTTGGTATTGGTTGGCCTCTGGCCCTTAAGCTCGATTCCATCACATCTTATCATAGTTCTATTCGGACCCGAGCTCGATAATGACTTCGAACTTGGTATTTGACCTGTACCTGAAATTTGAAGCTCGTTTGTGCCATCTTCGGATCCCATCTCGATATTATGAAGACTTTCTTCGGTCCATTATGATCCTATCTTGACTAGTCGTACGAAGGCCGAAATTAGTTTCGACCGTATACAAGTACGACCAATTATTAAAGCACTTTTTAATTTCGCTCAGATCTAAAGTGAATTCATGAAAGAAAAAAAAAGAGGCTGAAAATGCTCTTCTTTACCTCAATTCTTCGTGATAGACTCAGTTTTAGTCATAGCCAAAAGAACTTAAAATTCTTGACTTCGTTTGTAAAAGATAGAAGTGACATACGAAATATGTGGTGTATACCATATTGTTATAAATTGATATTTGGTAAGCATTTGTTCTCCCGAAAGGAAAACCAACATAACTTATATTCAAGAGACTAGATGGGGAACTAGGGCTGTTCAAAATCGAACTATAATCGTTAACCGAACCAAAAAAGTGCTTATTAGTATCGGCTTATCAGGGTAACGGTTGGTGAACGGATTGAAATTTTATAATTAACGACTTAACAGCTTTGAGGGCGAATTACTCAATTTCCTTATCGGATAAATCGTTAACCCGTAAAGAATTTTTATATTTATACTTTTACCTCTATGTATATAATGTAATATTTGAAACCCTAAAGCCTAAAATCTAAATCCCTAATTTATCAAATCTCAGTAGCAGCCGATAAGCACCCCCTAGCCCAACAATCGTCTCTCTCTTTTCCCTAATTGAGAGTATATGTAAGACCAAGAAACATGTATTCATAATTCATTGTTTATATGTAGATCAATTATATTATTTATAACCTTGAAAAATAATTATGAATTTTCTTTTTATCAAATTTTAACGTTATGATTTTGCTTTTGATGACTATGAATCTAAACTAGATCCCATCGATAGTTATTTATGATTTCCACAATAAATCTCCTTGATTTTCTCAAACATATTTGCTCAACTAGACAACAACAGCTTCTTTTGAAGTCTATTTGGTTTAGACAATAAACCATCCGATAACCGCCCGATAATCGTTAATCTGATACCAATTTGCCCGATGTCTTATTGTATGGCTAGCGGATTACTATATTTATAAATCGATAACCAATAAGCCGAACTATTAAGCGTAAATAACCGCCTGATCCGCCCGATAAGCAACCCTATTGGGAACTAAGGCTCGGGATGTAGATGGATTTAAGTTGTGGTACTCAGGAAAGGTAAGGGACAAGAACATGATAGACATGTTGGTCGATAGGGAACTCAGAGAGCTAGTGGTAGAGGTTAGGAGGGTGAATACAGACTGATAGCTATTAAAATGGTTGTAGGAGGGTCTACTTTAAACATAATTAGTGCTTACGTGCCTCAAGCGGGAATGGACGAAGAGGTGAAAAGACACTTTTGGGAGGATTTAGACGGGTTGGTGAATGGAATTCCGCACAGCGAAAAGCTAATTATAAGAGGAAATTTTAATGACCACATCGGGACGACTTCTAGGGATTATGACGGTGTGCATGCCGGCTTCGATTTTGGCGATAAAAACGAAGGAGGAACTTCAAAATTCCAGTGTGCTAAAGCTTTTGATTTTGTGATTGCTAACTCGTGTTTCTCGAAGAATGAGGAGCATTTGGTCACATTTCAGAATACGGTGGCAAAAATCCAGATTGATTATGTACTATTCAGGAAGTATGATAGAGGTCTTTGCACGGATTGTACGGTTATTCCGAGTGAGGATCTCACGACTCAACATAGGCTATTGGTGATGGACTTAGAGATCATAAGGAAAAGGAAGAAGAGGGATGTGTATGGTCAACCTAGGATTAGGACGGGAGCCTTGACCAAGGACAAAGCTCAGCATACGGGAGAAAAGTTACCGGCTATAGGGCCTGGGGGAGTAGTGGAGACGTGAATATTATATGGACTGTCATGACCCAATTCCTACCATAAGCCGTGATGGAGACCAACGATGCCATTAGGCAAGCCAACAATTAATAAACATACCGACCAATAGTCCATAACATATCCAAAATTGCAACAACTATAGTGGTATCAAGATTCTAAGCCATACTATGAATGTTTGGGAGAGAGTGGTAGAAGTGAAGGTGAGGAGGATTGTGTCTATTTTTGAGAACCAGTTAGGGTTCGTGCTGGATCGTTCGACTATGAAAGACATTCACCTTGTATGGACATTGCTAGAGTAGTATAGAGAGATGAAGAAGGACTTGCATAGAGTGTTTATTGTTCTGAAAAAAGCATACGACAAAGTCTCGAGAGAGAATCTATGGAGATGGTTGGAGGATAGAGACGTGGTTATAGCCTACATTAGGGTGATTTAGGATATTTATGATGGAGCTAAGCCCGAGGTAAGGTCAGTGAGAGGAGACTCGAAATACCTTCCAGTTGTGATAGGGTTGCATAAGATATTAAGCCCATTTTTATTTTCTTGGCAATGAATACACTGACACGACATATTCCTACTTAGGTGCATAATGTATGTTATTTGCAGATGGCATTGTTCTGATTGACGAGACACAAGGTGGTGTTAACAAGAGGCTGGAGGTTTGAAGACAAACCCTAGAGTCTAAAGATTTCAAGTTGATTAGGACAAAGACAAAATACTTGGAGTGTAATTTTAGCTACGTGACCCAGGTAGCAGACAAGGATGAGGCTTGGTAAGCAAGTCATCCCCAAGAGAGGAATTTCCAAGTATATTGGGTCAGTAATATAAGAAAATGGAAAAATTGACTTGGATGACACATCATATCGGAGCAGTATGGATGAAATGGATGCTTGCATTCGGTGTCCTGTGTGCTAAGAATGTACTACTAAACCTTAAAGGTAAGTTCTATAAAGTGGTGGTTAGACCGACAAGGTTATATGGGGTAAAGTGTTGGCCAGTTAAAAACTCTCATGTGCTGAAATGAGGATGTTGAGATGGATGTGCCGGCATACTAGGTTAGATAAGACTAGGGAAAAGGTAGGGTCGCCCCTATGGAGGTCAAGATGCGGGAGGTGAGGTTGCGATGATTCGAGCATTGGAAGAGGAGAAGCACAAATGATCAAGTTAGGAGGTGTGAGAGGTTGGTTTTGATGTGCATGAAAAGAGGTAGAGGTAGGCCAAAAAAGTATTCGGGAGAGGCGATTAGGCAGGACATGACACATCTTAAGCTTTCCTAGAATATGACCCTTGATAGCAAAGTGTGGAGGCCGAGAATTAAGGTAGAGGTTAGAAGGTAGTGAGCATTTTACTTTTTCTTTTTCGTACCGGTAGTTTTAGTGTTAATATTATATCTTTTATTCTTATATTGTTATTACTACCTACTGTTGATTCTCATCTGTCGCTTTGCTTTTTTATAATGATTTTTTAATTATTGTTACTGTTTGTTGTCACTACTTCTTTTTTTTTTTAGCCGAAGGTGTATTAGAAATAACCTCTCTGCCCTCCCGAGATAGAGGTAAAGTCTGATTACACACTATCATCCCCAAACCCTACTTGTGAAAATTTATTAGATTTTTTGTTGTTGTTGTTGTTGTTGTAGTATTAGTATTTGGTAATTATTTGGACCAAAGAAAAGGATATATGGTAAGCATAAGCAGAAAGACATTCTGCAAATAGCACATTATTATTTCTTCCGATTATAATGCTGTAATTAAATTCCACGTTTTCCCCAAAATCATGGATCCCCTTTTCCGTTTGGGAATATACAATGCGTATCGTTGCAAACCAAAAAGAGCACTAAACCTAGTTAGATTTTGCGAGCTTAATTGCACATTGATTTCCATAATGATACAATTGATACCGTGAAGTCAAAAGAGAATTTTTATACCGGCTTTTCTGAATATTTTTACAATGGCTATTCTGAATCTAATTAATGTCTTATTATGTAAGGTCCCGTAAAAGTTCGCCAAAGATTTACGGTTTTATAGTGCCAATGTCAAGTTAATACATTTGAAAGGTTGTAGTACGGATTTGTGAACTGAGCAATATATCGCGGAGTGGGTGGAAGAATTGGCATAAGAGGGCGATTCTACAATTAGTTATGCGAACTGCGAATCGGTTCCCCTGACCGCAGAATTATCGCGGATTGTGGCAGAAGCAAACTAGAAGTTGAAGATCATTTCGCGGTGGGTTATGCCGACCGTATAGCTATTTTGCGGACCACAGATCCATCAGGGAATTGGTCAGGCCACCTAAAAAAATTTTGAAGGAGATTTCGTAGTCCAATGTGTAGACCGCAGAGCTATTATACAGACTGCATATCCTCCTCAAACTTGTCTAGTTCCAACCCAAAACCGAGGACCATTTTGCAGTCCATTTCGCGGACCGCATAGGCATTTTGCTGTTCATGTCGCAATCGTAAACTTGACTCGAAGAGGTATTTTTGAGAAATTCCTAACCCAGTTCTATTTTAATAGAAGGGGATAAGGGGTTATTCTAGAGGGAAAATCTGGTATTTGAGAGAGTGTGTCATTCTAGAGAGCGAGAGAGAAGCTCCAATCTTTCATACTCTTCAATTTCTTTCCATTCTTGGAGATTCAAAGGGGAAAACTCACAAGTTCTTCAGGTAACCAGGTAAGATTTTATCCCTAGCTAACATGCAATATTCAATAATGAATTCATAGGTAAGATTTTAGTGTAGCGGCTTGTGGGATGGTAATTGGAAGCCATAAGCCCTCAATCTTGAATTTGGGTGTATGTGAAGAATAGGAGATGTGATCCTTGGGTCAGGAATAAATGGCTGGGCATACTGTCACAATCCAAAATCCACCTAGTCGTGATGGTACCTAACCCTAACATGCTAGGTAAACCAAATATAGAATAATATAACTCAATTGAAAGATCATATTAAAAAGGAATTAAAATAGCTGAATTTCATACAACATCCCAAGAATTGGTAGTATAAGTCATGAGCCACTAAGATTTAAATTTACAAAGCTGATATAAAGAATGAATACAACACATGTTCGAAAATACATAAACAAAAGTACAAATCCTAAACTACCAAGAACATATAGTAGTTATAGCTGGAAACAGGTACATCATCAATGCCAGCCTCCATTATCCACAGCAGCTTGACTCCAAGATCTACATGCAAGGTGCAGAACTGTAGTATCAGTACAACTAACCTCATGTACTCATTAAGTAACCTGACTAACCTTAGTGAAGCAGTGACGAGGTCTCAAGTCAAGGATACTCACTATATATAACCTATACATCTCAAAAACAAATACTTGTACCCAACAACAATATCGAAGTCTAAACATGAAATACCGGTACCACCAAATAGTGCGCAAGTCTCTTAAGAGTTTAGCATATAGAGAATATATGCATTTGATATCAGATAATACATCAACAATTGCATATAGAGAAGATACACACATGTATTGTCCAAGTTTAACAACTCAACATATAGGAAAAATATGCATCTAACATCATTAAATCCTCAAGCTTGCATAAGAGAAGATATTCTTAAAATATCAAATAATCCTTCTACAATTACATATAAAGAAGATATGCATGAAAACCAAGTAATCCTTCAACAATGTCATATAGAGAAGATATGCATGATTAGACAAGTCATCTTGCACATATTGATATATAGAGAAGATATGTACTTTGAATCATTTTTTAAATCATACGGCATATAGAGAAGATATGCTTAGAAGGCATGTAAACATTCAGGGACTAGCATATAGGAAGATATGCAAAATCCAACCACTAGCAAGTTTTCATAATTCGCGTGTACGTCATCAAGGAGAAACATGTAAGGACAACCCTAAGGGGATGGATCCTTATCCACACGTTGCAGGGATAACTCACGTGCATAATTACCACACGAACAACTCACGTGCCACAATCATAACCACCGCACGGAAAACTCACTAGCCAAAATCCCAACAATCACACGGACAACTCACGTGCTAATAATCCAATCCATTACACAGAAGCATATACAACAGTACATGTATATCATCAACGAATATCAAATCAAGTACTCATTGACTGATAAATAGCATGCTAAGGGTGTATGCTTGTGTGAAATGTACAATTAAACCTCAGATTAGGCGGATACGCTACACAATAACAAATATTATGCTCAAATAGGGAATCAACTCCTACACATGATCTCTATCATGATTCACAGAGCTCGCATAGTCATACAAACATAAAAAGCATGATAGTAAGAGGCACAATATCCATGTCAAGGCATAGTACAACCTAAAGACTACTCCGGTCATGAATCATACATTGCACCCGTATATACGCTCTTTACCTCTCATATACGTCGCGTATCACACATTTCAATTAGACAAACAATGTCATTTCCTAAGGGTTATTCTCTCAACAATATTAGGCAAGATACTTACCTTAATTGCACTAGTTCGAAGCTTCAAATCGCATTCCTTGAGAAATCACCTCTAACCGGCTCAAATCTAGAAAAACATCGACCAAGAAAGTCCACCAATGCCATAGAAAACGATCCAAATCAATAAAGCATCAATCTTGGAAGAATTTGCAAAAATTCAACAAAAGTCAACCATGGCCCGCGTGCCCGAAATCCGGAACCCATACCAAAATTCAATGACCCATAACCAGGCGAGTCCAAATATGTGATTTGTTTCTAAATACGAGTTCAAATTGGTGTTCAAAATTCTAAAATACTCTTTCTTATCTTGTAGACAAAAATCTCAAATTTCACTTTAAAAATCTGTATTTTAGGTCTAGAAGTCCATGGGGAATCAATACAATAATCAAATCCAACTAGAAATTACTTACTCACAAAGTAGTGATAAAAATCTCCTAAAACATTGTCTCTTCCCGAGCTCCAAAACTTTATGAAAAAAAGTACTCTCTCCGTTTCAATTTAGATGAGGTAGTTTGACTCGGCATATAGTTTAAGAAAAAAG